GGGCAGGGGTGGTGCCGGGCTTCTGCCGATCCGGATCGATGCTCCGACGTTGACGAGACGAGACCCGGGGTCCTGTGCAAGACACCTCACTTTTATAGCCGCTTCCCTCCTCGTGCAAATGTACAGATTTTCTGGGAGGTCACCAATGCATTGTAGTTTCTCAGGAAATCTGTGGTGTCACGGAGATAGCTGGGAGTGCTGGTGGCGTAGGGTCTGAGTAGGGAGTCCACATATCCAGACAGTCCTTCCGTGAGAGTGCCAATGCCCGAGATGATGGGGCGTCCAGGATTTCCAGGTTTGTGGATCTTAGGTAGTAGATAGAATAACCCCGGTCGGGGCTCTAAGGGTGTGTTGATTTGTTCCTGTGTTAGTGTAGGGAGTGTCCTGAGCAGATGGTGCCGTTTCTTAGTGTATTTCTCAGTGGGATCTGAGGAAAGCGGCCTGAAGAATTGAGTATTGGAGAGTTGTCTGGCAGCCTCCTTCTGGTAGTCAGAGCTGTTCATGATGACAACAGCACCTCCTTTCTCAGCCTCTTCGATGATGATGTCAGGGTGGTTTCTGAGGCTGTGGATGGCATTGCGTTCTGCACGACTTAGGTTATGAGGCAAGCGATGGTGTTTTTCCACAATTTCTGCCTGTGCACGTCGGCGGAAGCATTCGATGTATAGGTCCAGACTGTCATTTCGACCCTCGGGAGGAGTCCAGGTGGAGTTCTTCTTCCTGTGTTGTTGGTGGGAGGGTATCTGTGGATCAGCGCGCTGTTCAGTGTTATCTTGAAAGTATTCTGTGAGTCGAGGCGGCGAAAGTAGGCTTCCAGCTCACCGCAGAACTGTATCATCTTCGTGGGGGTGCTGGGGCAAAAGGAGAGTCCCCGAGATAGGACAGACTCTTCTGCCGGGCTGAGAGTAGCTGGATAAATTGAGGATATTGCTGGTGAGTTCGGGGTACCCCTGTTGTGGCCCCATGTGGCAGGTAGGATTTTAGACAGCTTACGGTCCTTTCTCCTCTGTAGAGCGGTGAGGTGTGTACCGCAGATCTCCGGTCTGGCTGTAGCAAAGTCCGGTTGTGTGGAGGGCTGGTTGTGAGAGGCTCTTTTCTGAGGTTTTCCTGGTGGCTGTCTAGGATGCTGATCAGGGGGTTCCTCAGTTTCTTTGATAGAGGCAGCCCACTTGACACGTCTGATCGGCCCTGGGTCTGGCTCCCAGCCCCCCGACCGGCTGAGACTGTCTGGAGGTGCTGCCTTCCCCGCCTGGCTCATCCACCCTCGGTCATTCAACCCGGCAAGTGATCGAGAGCGGGGGGGATCTTGTTCTACTCCCAGCAAAAGGACATTTTTCTTCTCTCTTATTCTATCCTTAGGGGCTATAATATTATACCAAGGGCCGTGCAAAGTGCCCACATGAGGCTTTGCTACAAAGTCCCATGAAAACAGAGGTTTTTACAAGGTTATGTGATGAGGCACAATGTAAAGTCATATGAAAATTATCAGAGATTTATCTACACCTCCCCTCCCACGGCCAGGATACTCCCTCCCCGCCCCTCCCCCGCCTCCCTCTGGCCGGGATCCCCCCACTTTCCCGTCTCACCCCCCTCTCCCCTCCCATCCCCTCCCCTCCCCCGCAC